AAACTGGCTCCCCTCATGGACCAGCTCCCATCTGACATCCCACACTGCTGCCTCTGATACAGAAGCTGCACTCAGGGACTATAGAATAGTCCAGTGTTTCTCAACCAGTGGAGAAACAAATGTGTTGCAATGATAGGAAAAAAATTGTGTCTGAAAACTATAGGTACTGGGGGTACTTATAATTTTTTTTTTAAAAGGAGGTACTTTATAAATAAAGGTTGAGAAATACTGGAATAGTCCAATAAAATAACCAATAACATTTAATGAGGTTATTTGATTATTCAATTAACCGATATTTCACATCCCTAGTCTCCAGGGCCTAAGAACAAGGACTAGCATGTAGTATACTGCTATTATACCTGGCCTATACATGTGGGGGGAGGGGGTGAAGGGTGTAAACACACAAACCATGACCCCCCAAGTAAGCATGCTCCAGCCAACCATGGGAAGGCAGGAGCAGTGCACTGTCCAGTTCCCCAGCCCTAGCCTTCCCCCAACTAGCCAAAGCATGTGGGAGGGAGGCTCAGGCGCCGCTCCTGCCTTCCCCTGATCAGCCAAAGCACGCTTACTTGGGGGAAAATGGGGGAGGGGGTCATTTCCCCCCCCCCCCCGCAAATAAAGCATTCCCCCCACAGAAATTCCTGTGTACAAGCCTGATAACAGACACACTGTTGGTCTTTAGCAGCAAGATTAACTGCTACTGAACAAGACAATCCAACAAGGATGACGGCATGTGCATGACAACTGGGTAGTTTTTGCCAATGTATATGTATATAGCTCATATAAGCTCTTAAATACTTAGTTGCTAGGTCTTCTGATACACTCTGAGCTGCTCTCTTTCTTTATAAAGCAGGCAAACTATATCAATACTGAGACACTGTTTATTACATAGCACAGTACTTATAAAAACACTAAATGCATGTTAAACTTTATACATATTATACTGTTCATAAATATTTACTATTGTGGCTCGCAGTCCCAGAAGCATGAATATTCAGCACAAAAAAGTTAAACCATAGAAGTGAACTTGTTCAAATTGAGTTTTTCTTTTTTAATCAGGGTGGGGAAACTAAGGTGGGGGGGGGGGTGGAGTTCCCCACTTGCCTGAATCAGACCCCTGAGGCACTGCCCCAGCATCTGGGAGCCTGGGTTGGCACTCCAGCCCTGCCCCCACATCCTGCATAGACCTCTCGGGCAGACCTCTCACCCCCAGTCTGCTTCTACACCCACTATCCTGCCCAGACCACACATCCCCACTCTACCACCCTCCCAGACCCACCAACTCCCAATCCACTCCTGTACCCTCCCACCCAAACACTACATCCCAAACCTGCTTCCTTAGCAGCCCTGTCCCACCCACTAAACCCCTCATTTTTTGTCCCATCCCAGAGCTTTTAGGGGCCCACAAAATCTACTAGCCAACCCTCCCAAAGACACTGGTGTGCAAGGGGAACGTAGGAAGCGTCTTTTTGCTTCTGGTCAGGGGCCACAGTGGTGAGGTGTTGTGGGGCTTCTTAATTTTATTTTGCTTCTCCCCTGAGCGCAGCCGGGTCTGACCTGTCTCAGGATCAGCAGCCCCTGACGCAAAAAAGGTTTCCCGCCTATTTTAAATTAACCTTGCAACCTACTAAACACTCCGCTGTGCGTGCGCGAACAGGCGCTCAGTCAGGCTCGTAACAAGCTCGCATCCAAAGCCTGATCCTGACCCCTCTGGAAAGTCATTTTCCGGAGGCAGCCAGAGCGCAGACGCCTGGCGGCCTCGGCGACAAGCTGCCCCCGTGCGCTGTAACAGCTTCCCTGCGGCAGCGGCTCCAGGGTCCGTGTCGCGCCCACAGCTCCACTGTCCGGGCACCTCTGCCCACAGCGCCCCGCAACCCTCCGGCCGTCACGTGACATGACCCCGCCTCCGCAAGCGATCACCTGAGGCCTGACCCTTCGCCCCCTCGGCTGCGTAAACTGTACGTCATGCGATAGACACCGTTAAGAACCAATCAGAAGCCTACAACTCGGGCCAGTTGAACCAGTGAGCGGGGTGGGGGCGGGCGCCGAGCTGAGGGCAGGAGGCGGGGCTATTTTCACGTGTGGCGACCGGGAGCGTCAGGCCCAGAGAGGTGGGTTTCTGACCGGGGAGGGCGGGAGTTAGCCCCGGGGTTAGCCCCTCCCTGTGCGAGCCTCGCTCCCGCAGGCCCTTGTCGGGCAGTAACCCCCGGGCAGGGGCAGGGCGTCGCCCCCTGGGGCTGTGGGGTGGAGAGTCTCATTTAAGCAGAAAGCAGGGACCTGGTCTTCAGCGGTCCCGCTGCGCATCTCGTGATCGTGCAGAAGGGAGATTCTCAGGGGAAGGCTGATGACGTGCAGGGGTTTAAAAAGCTCTTCCAGGGGACTCTGCTCGGGCAGTCAACAGTGTATCCGGACTCGAGGCCATAGGGGAAGAGTGGGTAGTGATAACATCCTGGAGTGACCATGCTTAGAGCTCTGCAAATCCCCGGCTGCCTGCTTTGTATCCATGGGATCGGCATTCGCGGGTATGGATCCCCAGATCATTTTTACAGCTGTGGATGCCAATTTTGTATCCAGTGATAGAAATGTAGCCGTGTTAGTCTGGGGTAGTTGAAGCAAAATGCAGGACAATGTAGCACTTTAAAGACTAACAAGATGGTTTATTAGATGATGAGCTTTCGTGGGCCAGACCCACTTCCTCAGATCAAATAGTGGAAGAAAGTAGTCACAACCATATATACCAAAGGATACAATTAAAAAAAAGAACAAATATGAAAAGGACAAATCACATTGCAGAACAGAAGGAGGATGCGGGGGGGTGGGAAGGGGGAGGAAGGAAGGTAAGTGTCTGTGAATTGATGATATTAGAGGTAGGGAGAGTGGGATGTTTGTGAGTTAATGGTATTACAGGTGATAATTGGGGAAACTGTCTTGATAATGGGTGAGAAAGTTCAAAGACTTGTTAAGTCCCTGGTGGTAAGTGTCGAATTTTAACATGAATGACAGTTCAGAGGATTCCCTTTCAAGTGCAGATGTAAAAGGTCTTTGTAGCAGAATGCAGGTGGCTAAGTCATTTAGAGAGTGTCCTTTCTGGTTAAAGTGGCAAGAAACTGTTTTCTCTTTGTGATCTTGTCTGATATCTGTTTTGTGGGCATTAATCCTTTGGCGAAGTGTCTGAGATGTTTGTCCAATGTACATAGCAGACGGACACTTTCGGCACATGATAGCATAGATTATATTTCTGGATGCGCAGGAATATGTGTTCTTGATCTTATAACTCACTTGGTTAGGTCCAATAATGGTATCAGCAGAATGAATATGTGGACAAAGCTGGCAACGGGGTTTGTTGCAAGGGAAGGTACCAGGGTTGGTATTAGTGTGGTATGTCCTGTGGTGGTTGGTAAGAATCATCTTGAGGTTAGGTGGTTGTCTATAGGAGACTATGGGTCTGTCTCCCAGAGCCTCTTTGAGTATGGTATCCTGTTCCAATATAGGCTGTAGTTTATTGATAATGTGTTGGACAGGTTTAAAAAGTCAATGGTGGAGCCAGGATTAGAACTAAGAAGTTCCTTTGTTCTAATCCTGTTCTTAGAAATACTAAATCATGCAGCCTCTAAACCAACTTGATCTACTATTTTCAGAATGATGGAATGCGAGATCCTTTATGGAACTTTTAGTACAAATACGGATATTGATAATTAGTAACACTATGAAGATCATTTAAAATCGAATCTGAAGAAAATAACCCAGAGAAACTCAGCCTGTTGCAGTGGTCATCAACCAGTAGATTGGGATCTACTGATAGATCTTGAAGCCTCTGACAGGTCATCCTGACTGGTTTGGCCAAGAGGCTATCAAGTGCCAGCACTCTAGCTGCCCTTCCCCCTACTGTTGTGCACCTCCTTTCCTTTGCCTTGAAACTGCCTCTCCCCACCCTCGGGAGCCTCCTGCTTGCTGTGCAGGGCAGGGGAAGGAGAAGAGTGGCATTGATGTTAAGGTGTTCCCTCTCTGTATCCTATCTCCACAGAGCAGAGTGGGGGTCACAACAGGACTTGAGATGGAGTTTGCTGGCTGCTTTTGGGAGTGGTACAAGGCCAGGGCAGTGGTGAGCCTGCCTTAGCCCCACTGCACCATCACCCAGGAGCCACTTGAGGTTAGCAGTGCCCAGCTGGAGCCCACATCCTGAAAACCTACCCCAGTCATGAACCCCCTCCTACACCCCAAGCTCCTGTCCTAGCCCCAAGCACCCCTGCATCCAAACACCCTCCCAGAGCCTGCACCTAAACCACCTCCAGCACTCCAACTGCCTGTCCCATGCTTAGCTCAGAGCCCCTCTTGCACTCCAAATCCCTTAATCCCAAAACCAGAGCATGCACCCCAACCCACTGCTCCTGCCTGGTGAAAGTGCAGGAGGATGGGGGAGGGAGGATGGAGTGAGGCCTGAGAGAAGGGGCACAAAGGAGGCAGGGCAAGGGTGTTTGAGTTTGAGGTAGATCTTGGATTGCACTTAAATTCAAGAAGTGATCTCATGCTTAAAAAGGTTGGTGACCATGAACCTATTATATGGATCTGGTCAACTTAAAATAGTTTACTTCTGTTTTGAAACTCTTTTGCCTACTATTGCAAGAAGTAATTTTCTCCAATGGCTTTAGGTTTTTTTTATTTTGTGCATTTCAGAACACTTTGGGTGAAATTTGGTCCTATTGAAGACAAAACTCACATTGACTTCACTAGAACCGAGGTTTCACCGATAGTGTCAGTTTCACTGTAGAGACTGTGTGTTTTCTCCTGTTATTCCTGTTGGTCTTTTCCATAACATCATGAGGGCAGGGAGAGAGCAAATCACAAAAACTTACAAGAAAACTTGGGGTAGTTTTATTTTTAAAAAAACATTAAAAGTAGTTTCAGGTAAATTGACTAAATATTAAGATGATGGTGACATTTTAATGTTTATATAATACCTTGAAGATGAAAATGGAGAATTACTATTTTCACATTGTATGTTCATTCTGTGTACATATCCTGTTATATATAATGTGCTTAAAAGCTTTGCAACATTCTGCTTACCTAGGGAAAATGTTTTTAACAAAGCAAAATAGCTTTTTCATTAGAATAGTCTTCATGTGAACGGTGTGTGAGGAGACCTTGCATGCGGGCTAATAAATGTTCAAGACAGTTTTTCAAGCTGGATGTAACAGTGCAATATTATTGTTAGGTATGAACAAGGAGAACCATGGAACTCACTGAATGCAGGCACCAGCAACAGCAGATCCTCCTCCAATATATGTCATAGCTCTCCAGTGCCTGGTAAGGGACCATTGTATTCAGGGTCTAAATCAGCACCTAAACATTGCATGAAGCTGGAAGGTACTGTTGTAGTTTACTTTGCCTCGCTAATATCCATAGCCATCTGTGGCAGAGATCTTCTAAAAGTTATGTTATTGAAAAAGTTTAAGTAGACAAGGAAAATTTAACAATACAACATGCCCCTTGAATTGAAAGATCCTAGAGCTTTGGCTTCAGCCTGAGCCCAGAAATCTAGACAGCAATGAAACCGCCCTATAGCTGGAGCCTCACAAGCCCAGGTCATCTGGCACTGGCCAGCTGCAGGTTTTTCTTCACTATGTACGTGTACCCTCAGTGAGCCCAGCCCAGTCCACAATTGAAATGTGTCATGGATTATAGGTATTGAGGTATCTAAGCCTTAGATTTGGGAAGTGTTATTAGAAAGGGATGTATGGGGAAAGGGATTCCTGGTTTTATATTTGGTCAGTCTTCGGTCGTCAGTTCTTGGGACATCCTAAAAAAATTTTTTTGTCAGCCATGTGCCTTTTGTGACTCATTTATGTTAAAAAAAAGAATGGACACATCTTTGTTCTGGAGCACTTTTTCCTTTGTTTCACCACTTCTGTTTCCTGAATGTAATCGCCATCACTTCTGGTTTCCCTCTCCATATCCTTGTAATGACATTTCCTCTGCAGACAGTAGGAGCATGGTCTGGCTTTTGCTGAGTTGGCCATGAAATCAATACCTCTCCCTATTTGAGACCTACCAGTCTGGAAACAGAAATATCCAGTGTCCTTTTAAACTTAAATTCCCCAAGATGCCTGTCTCTTGGCTGCTCCTGTGAAATTGGATGAGGTCAAAGAGTAATAGAAAAGATTTGCTCTCAATCTGATTTTGCTTGGTATTTACCCTTTATAGAACTACCAGGATTTTACTATGACCCTGAAAAGAATCGCTATTTCCGCCTGCTCCCTGGACATAATAATTACAACCCTCTCACCAAAGAAAGCCTCCAGAACAAGGAGATGGAGTGCAAGAGACTGAAGCTCTTAGAAGAGGAAGAAAAGCAAAAGAAGGTGGGTTCTGTTTCTGAAATAGTTTCTAAACTTTATTATGCTCTGATCCACAACACCAGAATGGGCTACAGGTCATAAACCAGTCCAGTTTCAACTTTGGTATAATTAGCCCTAATGCTAGCTGTTCAAGGCCAAATATTTAAACATTTGTCCATACACCCCACAAAAATTGTGTTAAGATGGAGTTGTGGTTGAGACTACATAATCAGTAATTTAGGGTAAAATACATTGCAGGGATGTTGTAATTATTTCAAAACCAAGTATGATAAAGTCATGAAATTCACAGTTAAGGTTAAACTTAAAACCTTAACTTTGCCCTACTGTGAAGTCTTAAAACAGTTCATAGATAAAACCAGGTAAAATCTCGTGCCTATGCATTTGGAGTTTTTTTAAGGATTAAAAATCATTTTTCCAGTTGTAGAATTCTTTGTAGTAGACCATTGTGTCCTTCAGCATCTGCTGGAAAAAAGTGTATGAAGTATAATAAGACAAATTATAATTCCTGAACACTGATTCAAATGTAGCTCAAGGACAATATTTTAGTGAGTTATGCAAAATTTGATGTTTTTTTTGGTCTGTTACTGAGATTATAGGGCAAAAAAGAAAGACTGGCAGACTTTCTAAACTTGCTACACTTCTTAAAAAGCCAATTTTTAGTTTAATTTTAATTCTTCAACTGGTTAATTGTTAAGTTTTCAGAATAAAATGAATTCTCAGAGTAAATACTACCATTTTGAGCAAGGTGTCTCCTTTGCTATGGTGTCACACTAGTGCCTGCATTAAAAACGTGTCTCCATCAGTGGTCTAGTTTTCACAGGCACTGTGCACTTTAAGGTCCTATTAATCTCAATGAGAGCTGTAGGTGCTTAGCACCTCTGGAAGTTAGGCCACTAGTATAGATGGCCCCAATTTAATTAAAAAATCACTTTCATTCTTTGTTGAGACTACAAAATGGATTATAAAAACCTGGCATAGTTTGCTTTGCACCAGCTCTGTCTACTATTGTGTCTTTTGCTTTCATGAACATTGGAAAATATTCAGCCCAGATGTAAAATGACAAATGGAAGAGCTTAGGCTATTGCAACATTAAGGTTATACACTTAACATAAAAAGGGAAATGTCAAAACTAAAGTTTCTATGGCAGTATTATGTGTCCATATTGTATTTCAGAGGTTTTTTTATTTAAGATAAGAACTTGAGATGTTATTTTGTACTGAAAATAGTTCATGGATTTCAAACCACAAGATGAAACAGTCATATAGAATTAAACACAAATTTGACAACTATGTGGAATTCAGTAGACTGAAGGGCATTCCATTAGTTTTGCATTTAGAAGGAGCCTGACACTATTCTGGACCTCAGGAAAAAATTTATCCACCGATAATTTATTTTCTTCCTCAGAGTGGGATATTTTGATTTTTTTTTTTTTTTTTTTTTTTTTGATGGGATTCGTTTTGTTTTCCTTTTTAAAAGCTGTTTTCCATACATAAGCTAAGGGATAAATGACTTTCATTTGTCCTTTTTAAATAGAAAACATCTAGAGCTGGGTTGAACTCATCACTTGTCTTACACAAGAGGCAATTAGGATTACTCAGTTCCACCAATTATTGCAGGTAAGATAATTTCATCTCCCTTTTTTACATTATTATGTGCGACTGCTAATGCATCTTTGCCATTCATCTGTAGCATACCCTGCTGTTCCTATAAGGAACAAAGCTGGGGGAACATTGGTAATAAATCCAAAAAATGTATACTGCCTTTTAGATAAGATGTCCCTTTGTTTTCTGTGCAGGTTTTCCATTTACATTTTATATAGCACATGCCCATAGAATGGCTTAGCAAGTCCTTCTTAAAATGGAAAGAATTAAGATGCAAGAAAATATTTTTTGATCATCAGATTCTGAATAATTCTAGTGTGAAATTTTCCCTCGTTAACATAAATACATGCTGTCCTGCACTTTATATTCCCTTTTATAAATTCATAAGATTTATCTGGTGTTGCTTGGGTCCTCAAATATAAATTCATAAGATTTATCCGGTGTTGCTTGGGTCCTCAACTCAAATAAGTTTTGTTTTTCTTCATTTAAATAATTGTTCTGAGGTGGGGTTAGGATAAAGGGTTCAGTATGCAGACTGCCTTGGGGAGAGAGGACATCCCCTGTCCCCTCTCACTGCAACAATTTTGGGCCAGGTGAGAAGTGTCTATCCATGGCTGCTGCAGCAGGCACAGCCTGGGGAGGGGTGCATGTCCCCCAGCTAGGGGACAGAGAGACAGACAGACACACAAACAGACAAACTCTCTGAAATGTATAGAAAGTAGCTGTCCCTTTCTTCACCCCTGCCTCATACTGGCCCAATGGAATTATAACTGTCTTGGTCCTCATCTCTGGCCCCTTGCTGCCCCTGTCCTCCCTGTGGTCATTCTGCAGTATAACTGTCCCTCCTCCCAGACCTCTCCCTTTCCATTTTATGAGAACCAGTCGAATTCCAGGCACATTTCATTGTCCTGGAACAACTAAACTCTGATCTTGCTTTAAGTTATGATAAGAGGAGGCTGCATACTAAATTTGATGGTCCTAGTTCTTACTGGATAGAGGAGTTCTTGAATAGATCACAGACAAACGAAGAGACAAATGCACATTTCTAAAATATACGGTAAGACTTTAATGGACTGAATCAATGTGAGATTTCTCTTTTCCTTCCATGGCTTCAGTGGTGCAACTGAGAGTATGTCAGCAGATGCCAGCAACCTGTCTTCTGCTGTTTAAGCTGTTTGGGAAATTACAGTGGTGGGATAAGGCTGATGTACCTACAGACAGAGGCTCCAAATATTATTTATTGGTGACATTGTCAGTGTTGGGATTTGAAGGTTGCTTGTGCCGTACATGGTAGGGCTGCATCCTGCCAGCTCTCTAGGCTGTTCACCCATTGTATAATCTGCAGAGATAAAGAAGCATCTCATTGCCTTTTTCCCAGAATTCTTTCATTGGCACTAAATACCAACATAGTTAAACATCTTTTCCTTTATAGATTGGTCCATGAATTAAAAGTGAACTGCATGAAGAGGAGGAAGGTAGAGATTCAGAGCCCAGATTCCTCAGTTACTGGAACCAACAATTTCAAACTAATAGTGGTATGTTATGTGCTCTTTATTTTTTAAGGCCTGAGGTTACTTGACTATAGTTATTTTCTTGAGAGCTCTGGGATTTGTAATGACCCTACATTTAGGTTATGTACACTGGGATGTGCTGTTTCTATAGAAGATTGCATTGGCAGCTTCTCCTACCATACAGAATGTTTTCCAGACTTGGGGGGAGGGGGGGACTCTGGGGCCAGCTAAACATGACTATGGTTATCTTTTCCCTGGGACCATTCTTCTTTAAGCAGTCTGACTGACTGTTTTCCACTACTTTGGTGGAATGAATTAATCCTTGGATCAGATACTGCTTTCAGTTACCTACTATTTATATTGTGGTAGTGCCCAAAATCTTTTCAGGTTTCTAAAAGGGTGTCACAAGGAGGAGGGAGAAAAATTGTTCTTCCTAGCCTTTGAGGATGGAACAAGAAGCATTGGGCTTAAACTGCAGCAAGGGAGGTTTAGGTTGGACATTAGGAAAAAGTTCCTAACAGTAAGGGTGGTTAAACACTGGAATACATTACCTAGGGTGGTTGTGGAATATCCATCTCTGGAGATATTTAAGAGTAGGTTAGATAAATGTCTATCAGGGATGATCTAGACAGTACTGGGTCCTGCCATGAGGTCAGCGGACTGGATTCAATGAACTCTCGAGGTCCCTTCCAGTCCCAGTATTCTATGATATGATTCTATGAAAACATGCTGGGTGCTTTCTTAACACCTAGCCTGAAAAATGTACAGTTTGCAAAGACAAAGCCAGGTGAAGAGTAGGAGGAAAGATAATGAAGATAAATGGCAAGTCTTCTGAGGAGGGAAGAGGAGACATAGGTGGGTAATAAGGAGTATAATAAAACAGGGAGGAGAAAGGGAAAGGATGAGCTTGATGGACTGAATGGGGGATAGAAGCAACAAGAAGGTCAAGTCTGCAATTAGAGCACAATTTTATAGTATAAAAAATCTGTGTAGATGTTAGGAGCGACGTTAGGAGCGACATCATCAGCCTCTGGATCTGAAAACTGCTGAGGCTTTGTTGGTTGGGAGAACTTCTGGTAACAGAGGCTACCTGGGAAGCTTGCCCACACTGAATTCTGGCCAGTGTTCCCTGTAAGCTTTGTGTTTCGTGAGAGATTCAAATGCATCCAAGTAATTAGCAGAATGCCCACAGCCAAAAGTGTTTCTATTGGTAGTGCACTTCCATGCATATCTTGGTGTACATAACAAAATGTATTCTACACGTGGATGGAAAAAAGTACTAGCTGTGTGGATGGGAGTGGGAAGAAGCAGGCTGAGAAGCACTGAACTATCCCTGGTGTGTGGCTGCTGCTATGGTCTGTGCTGTGGTGTGAAACAACTTTAGGGACAGGCATTTTGCACATGTAAGTTGACCTTTTCATGTAAGTGAAATCAGTTGAAACCAGTGGTGTTACTGAAAATTTCCACTGGTTCAGATGAGAGCAAAATCTGGAACTCAGGACCAGCACTTAAATTGCAAAAGCACCTATCTGATCCAGTTGGGGAAGGAGACTTTCAAATGACAGAAAAGTTTATATTTACACTGACTGCAAAATTCTTTATGCAGAGTCCCATTGGAGCCTGCACTTCAGAGGTGGGCAGTAAGACAGAGGCAGTTTACCAGAGTTAGCCCCTGGCGGGTTGATGCCACTTTATTTACCTGTATCTCCACAGGTACAGGAGCATGCAGCTCCCATTGGCCATGAATCGCTGTTCCAGGTGGCTGTGGACACCACTTCCTGCACCTCCCCTTGGCTGGGAATGGCAATCTGCAGCCAGTGGCAGCTGTAAATGCCCATACGTGTGGAGGCATAGGAAAATACAGCGGTGGCCTGCCAGTGGCTAATTCTGGCAAACCATGTACAGCCCACAGGCTGGTTATTGCCCATCACTACTGTACTTACTGATTATACTTCCTCATGACAGCAAGATCTGTCCACAATGCCATGCCAAAATTCAGCCAATAGGAAACAATGTTCATTATTGTCAGAGGTTGAAGTGGAAAATAACATGCCTTAACTGTTTTTCTAGTGACTCTCTCTCTAGAATCCACACGGACACACATGTAGTATCTGTAGTCTGACATGCAATCAGGTGGCGGTGGAAAAGTACAAATAATGGATTTCTCATCATGGATCCTAAAGCCAAATCTAGTTTTATTGCCCCTAATGATGCACTTCTTTTGCAGGCAGACACAGCTTGTGAGCGAATATTCACTGTGAATGATGTAGAGCATGGAGGGTGTAAATATGGTATCATCAATCTCAGTGGCTTAGGGAAGGACTCGCTCACTGTGGAGATGTATGACAACCTGTACTTCACAAACCGCAAGGTACCATTCATCCCCTGATCCCTCAAATGGTCATAACATGAGATGTATAACTGGAAATGAAAGGGGAGAGGGGAAGGAGGCAGAGGGAAGAAAAGAATCCATCAAAAAGGGATTGGGTAAATGTAAACTCCACAGAGACTGGAGCTCTGATACTCCTGAGTTGCTTTTGGAGATTGGTGTTGCTAAACAGTCAGTCCAGCACCTTTCAGGAGCAGTGTATTTCCACAGAATTACTCTTGGCAGCACTTGACAAGAGAGGCCCCCAGGGATTAAATTTACTGATTTTTGTTCTTAAGAAAGAAAAAAAAATGCCTCTCTTTTAGGAAGAACTTTTAGGACAAAATGCAACAACCTGAAGGTACCCAATTCCATGGAAAAAAACTCTTAGTTAAGAGATGTGGTGAATATTACCATCCAGGTTTGGGGAGACTTCTGTGAGTGTTAACCGTTTTCTGCTTTGTGCAAGTACTAGCAAGGGGCTGAAATACCTATATCTCTTTATTTGGCTAGTCATCACTAGTCATGTTCCAGGTTGTTGTTCTTGGCATTCTTCAGTATACTATGGGTGGGTGCTCACTTTTTCAGACTTATGTGAAGTGTTTTAAAATGTTCTCTTCTGAATTAAATAAGGGACAGCAAGTATTGTTCTGTCGTTTGTTTGTTTGTTTGTTTTAGGTGAATTCTGTGTGCTGGGCATCACTGACTCATCAAGATTCCCATGTTTTATATCCTTTTTAAAAAATAAAGAGCAAATTACTTCACAAAACAGAACATAAAAATGGCCATATTGGGTCATACCAAAGGTCTGTCTGGTCCAGTAACCTGTCTTCTGACAATAGCCAATGCCCGGTGCCCCAGAGGGAAAGAACAGAGCAAATAATCATCAAGTGATCTATCCCCTGTTGCCAATTCCCTGCTTCTGACAGACAGAGGTTTGAGACACCATCCCTGCCCATCCTGACAAATAGCCATTGATGGATCTATTCTCCAGGAACGTATCTACTTCTTTTTTGACCCCCTACTCTAAAGGTCTCATAACTTAACATTCAGAGATAACACAATGAATAAATTACATCAAATCACTTTTGGTCATAGAAA